CTCCGTGTCAATAAAAGAGGTCACGTGACACAAAGAGAGACTTCTAATGTCCTGTTCTATTACGCCACACACACGTCGCAAGGCATTTGACACATGATTTTAGTTTTAGTAAGAGTTTTACGGCACATACGACACAAATAAGTCACATAAGTGCCAAAGATAAAATGTGTTACTCCTATTAGAGAGTAAAAATACAAAGGATTAAAAAAGACGTGGAATAGAGACGATGACTGTTTATAAGGAAAAAAGACGCAAACCACACCAGAGTGCTTATAAACCATCCACATTTACCATAAATTAATCTTTCCACACTTATATAGTCAATATAGGATGTCACAAGGGACACAATGTAAGCTTTCATGTCTTGTTCACGATGACACGTTCCCCAGAATTCGGCGCGGGGCACCCACCAACCTCCCCTCCGCCTCCTCCTCCCTACAGACCAGTCCCCTGTCGGCGGCCAGCATTACTCAGTCTCTGCCAGATGACGTCATGGCTAGCTATGACGACACACACTACGTCACGAGAGTTGTGGGCTACTGCGCTGACCAGAACGAGAGGCTGAGGGTCATGTTCTCTATCGTTGTCATCCTGAGGGATTTACTGACCCTCCCCCTGGGCGTGGTCTTTGACAAGTACGGGACTACTAGGACACGCCTACTGACTGTGTGAGTGTATGAGGGGGAGGGGAGTGGGTCTTTGACAAGTATGTGACTCCTAGGGCACGCCTTACTGACTGTGGTATATTATGGAGTGGTGGAAAGTGTGTGTGTGTATGTGTGTGTGTTTGTGTGTGAGTGTGTGTGTGTGTATGTGTGGTTGGGGGGGGGTGAGTATTGGACAAGTATGGGACTACTAGGACCCGTCTACTGACTGTGTGAGTGTATTAGGGGGGGAGTGGGTCTTTGGACAAGTATGTGACTCCTAGGGCATGACTGAGTGGTACATTAGGGAGGGGTGGAAAAGTGTGTGTGTGTGTGTGTGCGTGTGTGGTTTGGGGGGAGGGGAGGATATTAGACAAGTATGGGACCACTAGGACACGCCTACTGACTGTGTGTGTGTA